GCCACTGGTGAAGTGGTGGGGAGAGTGGTCGTTCCAATCTTTCAGCAGGAGGATGGGAGGTCTGGGTGAAAATAAACAAGTTCGGGCTGCTCTGTAATACACCAAAAGTATTTTTGCTATTAATGATTATACAGTGACATTATGGTCTGAGCCGGTCATGGGGTGGAGCACACTTATAATCCCAGCACTGTGGGAGGCTGAGGCAGGAGGACCTCAAGTCTGAACCCATTTTGGGCAATTTATTTTTTTTTTAGATTAAGGTCTCACTAAATCCAGGCTGATTTCAAACTCCTGCCCCAGGCTCAAGAATAGTTGGGACTATAGGTGTGGGACATCATGCCTGACTAAAATTAGAATTCTCTTTTCTGTGGTATTAGAGATTGAACCCAGGCAGTGCTGAGCTACATCGCCAACCCTTTCTAGGGTTTTTTTTTTTTGGTACCAGGGATCGAACTTGGGACCTTGCATTTGCAAAGCAGGCAGCAGAACCAGAGTTAAAACCCTGGTCCCAACCCTTTCTAGTTTTTTTTTTGTTTTTTTTTTTAACCCTTTCTAGTTTGGAGACAAGGGCTCACTAAAGTGCCCGGACTACCCTTGAACCTGGGATCTTCCTCCCTCAGCTTCCCGAGTAGCTGGGCTTATAAATAAATGTGCACCATTGTGCCAGGCTCCACAAAAAGCTGCCTTTTAGTAACAGAATCTACTGATTCTGTAGAGACTGAGAAACTGATGTAAACAGAAATATGTGCAGCTATGAATTAACAACAGAGCAAGGGCTTTTTATTTTTATTTTTGTTTTTTGAAACAGGGTCTCACTCTGTAGTTCAGGCTGGCCTTGAACTCACTAGGTAGCCTAGGTTGTGCTCAAACTTGTGGTGATCCTCCTGCCTCAGCCTCCTGAGTGCTGGGATTATAGGCATTCACCACCATGCCTGGCTGGAGTTGACAAACTGTATGGAACCATAGTGCTCCCAGCTTATTTTTATTTCTAAAGCTTTGGGGGCAAACAAGGTGTTCAGAGTTCCCAAACATATCCAGTTGTGCACTGCAAAGTGATGGAGAAATTTGGCTTCAACCTAGGGTTAGCAGGTAAAGGTGACAATTTTTCAATGAATTTTGGTATCTGATATTTGGTATTTTTTGATATTCTTTGTGGTTGGTTCTATTTTTAGATGAATCAATTCACCTATCCAGTTTGTACTTATTTAGAACTTAGGAGGGAGAGGATCATGGCTTGCTTGGACTGAGAAGCCCACACGAAGTGGGTTTTCTGTTTCATGCACAAAGCTACATACCTATCTTACAGAGGGCACAGCTACAAATCCAACCCTCACATCATCACATTTAATTCTTGTATCACTCCTTTGACTTAGGTGTCATCTTCATTTTCTGAATGAGAAGACTGAGGCTCAAAGCAGTTAGGGAGCTTGCTCCAGGTCACTTAAGCAGACAAGCTGTGCAGCCAGGGCTGAATCTCGGGAGGGTCCTAATGTCTGATTAGGACTGACCTGTACAGACAATTTGCAATTCTGTAGATCTCTGTAGTCCTTCTGGGTTCTGAACTGAGGACTGCCTTGACAAAAATGGGAAGAGGAGAGGTGATCTGGTAGATTTGCAGGATTCCGAGGAAGGAAAGAACTGGAGAGCAGAGATGGGCGTAAAAGGCTGTGTGTTTAATCCAGGTCCTAGAGGTAGTGACTAGAGTGTGGAACTAGAAGACCTGGTTCAAGCTTTGTCCCTGCCATGCTGCTGCTGCTGGGCACTCTTAATCAATTTCCAGCCACATCTCTGAAGCTTTGTTCTTCCTCCCTAAAATAGGTATATATACAACTTATATATATTATACAAATAAATATATATATTTTTTGTACTGGGGAATTGAACCCAGAGCCTTCACAATGAGCAAACCCCTCCTCTTTAAAATTTTTTATTTTGAGACAGGCAAGGTCTTACTAGCTTGCTGAATTGCCCAGGATGGGCTCAAACTTGTGATCCTGCCTTGGCCTCCCTGAGTGCTGTGACTACAGGCATACACCCCCACACCCAGAGGTGGGGTTGACATCAAGACTAGAGAACCTCTAGGTTCTGTCAAACTCTTAGAATTCTGCCTGGTGCCTTTAAATTTTAATATTCTAAAGATTTACATATGAAGATCCTAAATATCATCCTGAATCTAAAAGAGAATGTAGATATAATTTTTTTTTTTTTATTTTGCTACCGGGGTTTGAACTCGGGTCTTTGTGCTTGCGCAGCAGGTGGCGAAACCACTGAGCTAAATCCCCGGCCCAGAATGTAGATATAATAATTCTTCTTTTTTTGGTACCAGTGATCAAACTCGGGACCTTGCTCGTTCGAGGCAGGCGCTGGAACCACTGAGCTAAATCCCTGGCCCTGTGTAATAATTCTTAGCGCAATCTTCTCAAAATACAAAGGAATAAATTGTTTGTTAGAATGCTTTCTAAATGCAGTTATATTGAAACAAGCCAAACACTTGTCTTTGTGTATTCTTTGCTTAAGAAAATGATTTGGGTATTGCTGCTGCAAGCAGTGGTTATGATATTAAAATCAAATAAGACTTTTTTGTGTGTGTACTGAGGATCGAACTTGGGTCCTTTCGCTTGAGAGGTAGGCAGTAGAAGCACTGAGCTAAATCCCCAGCTAAGACATTATTTTTTAAACAAATGAAATGGTTTAAATCTATATCTAAAAATTTTATGAAAATATACTTAGGAATCACAAATTGCATTTTCATCAAATTAATTTGTTTTCTAAGCTCAAATGTAATTTAAAATGAGATGTTTCTTCAACTGCTTCACAATCAACAGATGTAAAGGCATTTTGGATAGAGAACATAGGAAATAAATATAGTAATGCTCAAGCAAACAGTTCTTTTGACTTCTGCTGCTTTGAAGCTTCTAGAATGTATTTTCTTTCTTTTTTTTTGGTACTGGGGATTGAACTTCGGACCTTATGCTTTTGAGGCAGGTAGCAGCACCACCGAGCTAAATCCCCAGCCCTAGAATGTATTTTTAACACCTTCCTGATGAATTGGTTTTTGCTACCGTGAGCCAGGCTCATCTGTGCTTCACACCTATAACCTTTTCCTTATCCCTGTGCCTTGTAACAAATCCACTACCAAGACCTGCTAAGTCCTTGGTCTATATTTCTCCTAACGGACCTTCCTTATCCTACTGACAAGGGGACAGGTTTCCATTCCCAGATTGCTGGAGTGCCCTCTTCCTAAGAATAATCCACGGGGCAAAAGTATTTCCTGAAATAAAGCTTTCTTCAAACCATTTGTTAGGAAGGTTTCAGAGAGCCCATTGCTTACAGGATGAAATCCACATACTGCAGTTGAAGCAAATGCATTTGCTTTCTTTACAGACTTTGATCCTCCCAAGCTGAGATGCTGCTATTTGGAATCCTTTGCTCTTTCCCTCTGCCAACTCCATCACCTTCTTCCATTTGGTCTTGAAATTCACTTCATACAGGATGTTTTTCTTGCTTAGCTATTTCACAGATAAACAAGTCTTGTTTTTCGGCTTTTAATCACATTAAGTGCTTTCAAGATAAATTATTCAAGTCTAGGGATGAAGAGAGGATCTCTCTCAACAGAGATGTTCATTCTTTTAAGAATCACCCAGAGTGATTCTTGCCTGTCAGAAACAGCCCTTCAATTTTTAGGCGTCTGCCTTTTCACTAGGCATCCACGCTAGTAACAGAGCAAATAATTCTTTATAGTGACCTCTAGCGGGCACGGGACAATCCTACAAAATTATGGAAAGTGGAGGGCAGAATGAAACCCTTCCCAGGAACCAGCCCGCTTATTCTGTGGTCAGATTGCCGCACCCCTCCCCACCCTTATTACTATCATTTCCCGCAGTATTTGTTTTCGAGCGAACGTAGCTTGCCCTTACAACTCACCTGTTTGGCCTCTGGTGGGCTGGGCTGGCGGGGTCGGGTGTCTGAGTTGACCGTGGAGGATCAGAATGATCCCTGCCCGGTGGCCCCACTCCTTGCGCGACGAGCAGCGTGCGGGGCGCTCTGGCCCGCGAGGCCCTAAGGGGCTCTGCACGCTTCGAGGGCCGGCGCTGCGGCCGAGCTGGGGGAGGGCAGGGGTCGAAGATGTGGACCAAGGCAGCAAGAAATTGTTTTTGCCAGTGAAAAGGCGATTCGCTCCAGACTTTCACCACGGTGCACCGGAGGCGTCATGGAGGGCCCGGAGAAGCGTGGTCGCGGGCCGGGTGCATGGCACGCGGGTAGCCCTGAGCGAGGAGAGGAGCGAAGTGGGCAGAAGCAGCGGCCGGGCGCCTCCCCCGAGAAGTCCTTCGGGACTCTCAGAAGCCTACCTGGGTTCCGGATAGTTTCTGCAAAAAGCTCTCAGGACATCAGTCCCCGCCCTCAGACCCCGCACCCCAGTCCTCACCGCCACACCCCGCCTCGCCTCGCTCCCGCCGCCTCCCTTCGGGGGCTGCCTGAGCCATCCCCACGGCCGGGGCGGGACGCGGCAGCCCGCGCCCC